TTACCTTGCTGAAACCTTTACATCATCCATCTCTCTATCTCCCCTTTTCTCTATGCAATCACCGGGCTCTTTGGGTGAACTAGGAGGACCAAAGTTTTTCCATGAAGATCTTTTCGGTTTTCAAAGGACATAGCTGAAAGTTACACATTCATAAGATAGTCGCACGCGGATAGCTAACATAGTTATTATTCTAGAGGTGATCATGTAAACGTTTTATAGTTATGAAATGGCGCCCCTGCATGTTCTCCATAGAAATTATCTGTTTTTTTTTGCTGGCTGGAGTTAACTGCTGGGTACTCTTGATGGCCAGGGATGTGTTTAAGATAAATTGGAAAAAGACGAGCGGAGCAGCGAAGAAGGGTTCTCATTTTTCGAAATCATGATTGTATATGATATCACTTACACCCGTGCACGTGGCAAAAAATCTACAGTGGAGGTGTACTTACTATTCTATAGGATACCTCCATCTTTAGATCGGTCACGGCAAACGCCGCTTCTAGTTGACACACAAACGCGACGACCTACATGCCAAATAATGATACAAAGCTTTCAAAACATGAACAACAGCAAAAACAACTTAAAGTTGTTTGAAATCAAGCAATTAACCTTACGGTCAATTCATTTTTCCTTTTTGGAAACTCCCTTGCAGGCTTTACGTCAACCAGTTTCTTGCTGTTCTGCTCTAGTTATTTAGTGTATATCCGTGCTCGCATTGTGTAGTTGTCTAGGATCGGCCGTTGCGTTAGTGAATTCGAGCATGGAGACTCTTTATAGTAATCCTCGTAATGCTCATTAGGATTTGCAGCCTTTTTGGGCAGTAAGTGTAATTTAATCTTGAAAAGTAACTACGGTTGCAGATTAGAGTGCAACTCAAATCTCTATTACGCACGTCCCTGTGTATCAGAGTTTTAAGGGCCTATCACTTTTCTTTCAGTTACAGCTGGGTTATGCCTTTGTTTCATTTTCCTGAATATTTTCTCGAAAAAGAAATTAACTTAGAACAATTCGGAGAAAAATTGGCTATCAGTCAACAAAGTCAACAGGATACGCAGACGTTCAATGTTTCAATAAAATCACAAGGAAAATGTGAGTCTGGCCGTAAATGTTTAATTCAAAAGTGTCCGGATATGTTTTAGCAACATACCTTTTATGTAATCTGCGCATAGTTGTAATAATGCTTATCTTGAAGTAAGAAGATTTGGTTAAGTTGCTGCTAGGTTTAGTGACCGCGATAAAGAATCGGAAGGGAAATGCTTTGCGCGTAATTACTCATAATCGTGATTTCGAAAGTGATTAATTTTATGAACATCCAAAATTATTTTAAATTAGAAGA